GTTTAAAATGCATTTAAGATGTGTGGAAATTTGCGACGACGGCGAGGAGGAGGAGTCGTAGGAACAGGCGGATTATAGAACGGTTCGCCTGTGGATATTCCTTGTAATATACGACGATGATGATGTATTTTTGGAATCGCGGTTTGACATTTTTTTCTCTCAGACGAGTGGCAAAATGCAGCAGCGACGGCGGCGGCGGTGGCGGCGATGTCCACGACGAGGAGGGAGGCCGCGTTGGGGTTTTTTTGTGTGTTTCGCTTGAGTTGTGTACACAACTAATAAAGCTACTTACCGGCTTGGACGGGAAGACGCCTCCGTGGCTCGTCTTGACCCCACCCCTCCCCCCACTCGAAAGCAGTGTCGGCTCGGGACATTCTTCACGAGGTGGGGCTGTTGTGAGTGACCTCTGGAAAGATGATGTCATTAAGAAAAGCACTCGTCGTGTTTCGATTTAAAGCTTTCGTGACTGCAAGGATTCATCTTCTTTGGTTCTTTCGGTAAGTCACGTAGAATGAGAATAAAATAATACAATTCTCTCGACGTTTCGGTCACAACACAAGTGGCCTTCAGGTGAAGGGACGAGACTGTCTCGAGGACAGCAAGACAGTCTCGTCCCTTCACCTGATGAAGGCCACTTGTGTTGTGGCCGAAACGTCGTGAGAATTTATTGTGTTATTTTATTATTTTATTCTCATTCTACGTGACTTTACCGAAAGAACCAAAGAAGACTCGTCGTGTTGGCCTTCCCGTGAAAGTCGTACAACTTTGTTATCTACCCACGGTAGGCGTTCGTAAACAACACGAAACAAATCAACAAAGTTCTCAAATGCCGGCCCAACGACCCTCCAGTCCACACAAAAACCCCTTCGGCGCTGCCCGAAGCCTCGAGAACAATGAAAGATCAGCTGCCACGACTGGACAAATCCTTTAGAAGTGAATAATGAATATTTAGGAGTGACTCCCACAGATTTTGTTCGTCGCTAATTCTTCGTTTGCTGCTCTTTCTGACATCGCCGTTGTGTCCTCGCAGAGCGCGCGTCGGCCACGTGACCTGCTGCATTTGCACGGTGCAACCCAGCGCTGTGGCATCTTATCGATGCAGCCACGGGCGCCTTGCGCACCGTCCCGAATGTGTCTCGTGCACTGCGTGGCTGCGATGCTCGAAGCTGCTTGCGATGACTGAAGAAGGGGAATGTCGCTCGCTCGCTCGTTCGCTCGCCTTCACCAGCCGCCCCGAGGCAGCACGAATGGGACTGCGGCTTTGGAGCAGCGCTTTTTTTGATACGAACAAGTTAAAATGTTATCACACTTAGTAGCAGGCTTTCGCGACCAATATTCATAATAAACGTTTTTTGGGTGAGATCGCGTTATTTATAAATGTGTCGTAACCCTCCACCACCCGACACGGCCAATCAGTAAAAAAAAGTGTCACGTTGACAAAGACAAAATAGTTCACTACTTTAGCCCACCGGGGTGTTGTAGAGTGAATCCACAACATTTACAATTTTTGTTTAGTACGACGTTTCGCTGGCAATTACATCCAGCATCATCGGGCAATTGTAAATGTTGTGGATTCACGCTTCAACACACCGGTGGGCTAAAGTAGTGAACTAAAGTAGTGAACTATTTGTCTTTTGTCAACGTGACACTTTTTTACTGATTGGCCGTGTCGGGTGGTGGAGGGTTACGACACAAATAACGCGACCTCACCCAAAAACGTTTATTATGAATAAAAATTATCTTCATTCGGCAAATCACGTTGAAAGACATGATATTTTTTCTAAATTTAGTTTAATTATAAAAAATAATTTCTCATTTTCAGCTGCTGCGTGGGGCAGCGCTCCATCGTCTCGTGCAGTGATCCCGAGCCCCCGGGGCCGCGGACTGTGGGTTGTAGACCCCTCCACGACAACATTGACCATTCAAACACAGAGACGTTTCGCCGGCAATTACGACGACCAGCAGCGTCGCTGGGCGATAGCCACAGAGCTGTGGAGAAATCCTCCTTCTGTTTCGGTCTTAAATAAATCATCCTTGTCACAACCCATTGGTGCGCAAAAAACAATTGAGATTGAAGATAATAAAAATGGGTGGTGGGGGGGGGGGAGGTCACAGGACATGTGGACCGCCCTGTACTTTACAATGCTCACAGCGTGTACCACCAACTCCGCACTAAACCAGAGTGGTGAAGTATGGTCAAATAACCACCCGGCACAGAGGGAGGAGGGGCGGGGGGGGGAGGGGACGCCCTCGCTCGCATCCAGCAGTGGATCGACACCGGGCCGTGTTGCGCGCAAAGCGGAGTGACCTCCTGTTGGTGGGCCGCGTGACCCCGCCGCTGCTGCCCGCCCGCGTTGGGGGGGGGGGGCCCACGTGGCTTCGACTCTCGCCGTGCCCTCTCTCTGCACGCGAGATGCGTGCAGAGAGAGGGCACGGCGGGTGGCGGCGGGGAGCGAGGGGTGGCCGCGGTGGTGGTGGTGGTGGTGGGGTCGTCTCTTCCCGAGACGCTTGGCCAGGGACCCCCACGGATTTTCCGGCAGCGGCCAGCAGCTGCTGCTGCGGGGCTGCGCCTTTAGGGGCCGTCCATAAATGACGTCACGCGATTTTTGACCCCGCCCTCCCCCCCCGTCACACGGCGTCGCAAAAAGTCAGACCCCCCCCCCCCTCTCAAATATGACGTCACAAAGCTCTGCCCTCACCCCCCCAAAACCATATTTCCATTTTGAAAATAAAAATTGCTTCAAATCGCTTTAAACTATTGTCATTGTATTGCGTATTTAATGTTGCGCTGCACTCGTATGTTGTAGGAGTTTTGTTAGTACAATTAGTGTTGTTATAACCATTCTATATTTATTTAAAGTTGCGCATTTTGATGTGACGTCACATTTCTCAACCCCCCCCCCTCGTCACACATCGTCACAAATGTCTGACACCCCCCCCCCCCATATGCGTGACGTCATTTATGAACGGCCCCTTAACTCCTCGCCGTCGTATTTTGTTGCTATTTTTTTTCTTGTATCGCGGTGGTCGGCTCGCTCGACCGTAGGTCGAAGCGCCCCGTTTCAATTTAGTTGATTTATTTTGGTATGGCCCTGTGAGCCATTCGGCTCTTGAATCGGGTGCGACCACAACCAACAAAAACGCTCACACGGGCGTCTCTCGCACGACAGTGCCGTCGGCACCTTGTGCGCAGCGGTGACTGCATAAAGACATCGCCAAGGTGATCGTGAAATGTGTGTGATGGGCAATCGGATCATCATCATCATCAAGCCCCGAAGTCGCCCCTTGTCGACTCGGGGGGACAGCCAATGCAAAAGAACGCCTTGCCCGACAAGGGAGCGAGCATCAGGACTCAAGGTAAGTGACAATTAAACAAGATGGGATTATTTTTCTAGTCATGTTACTTATGAGTTTCATTTATTGTACGGTATTTATTACAGTATCACATGCAAATGTACAATATTTCTTATTAACGAGTTGAACAACGCTGCCCTTCTTTGTTGTTGTTGAACCCCTAACACATTATAACACTGACCCTATGTGCACTTAAATCCAGTACGTTATTGTGTTCCGACTTACGGACAGCCCGACTTACGAACGGATCTCATGAACTCAACCCGTTCGTAAGTCGAGGCGCGTCCGTGAACGTGATTCATTCATGAACTCAACCCGTTCGTAAGTCGAGGCGCGTCCGTGAACGTGAATCATTCATGAACTCAACTCGTTCGTAAGTCGAGGCGCGTCCGTGAACGTGATTCATGAACTCAACCCGTTCGTAAGTCGAGGCGCGTCCGTGAACGTGATTCATTCATGAACTCAACCCGTTCGTATTCACCAATAGGCGGCGCTTCCGTAGCTAATTAACATTTTAGGCCACCCCTTCCAACGCGTTTGATTGGCTAAGCTTGACGAATGGGCGCGCCTTAATGCAGTGTGAGACACTGGTGCATTGCGAGACGCTCTAAGGGCAGCACATTAATAAATCACTCGGCGTATACAACAACAGGTAGTCTCTGGACGTAATGACACAAAGAATATCTCTAACGTAACCCATCGACGTTATTCATTCGGCTGCGTCGGGTGGCGGAGGGCACATGCCACACACACATACACGCATTGTTTTACTGAACCCCAACATGTGTAAGAGTTCAACTTTGCCAGGTAAGGGCCCCCACTGAGCCATGCAAGGTTTTATTTTTGCCAGAAGCGACCTGGCCATCAACAAATGACAGCACAACAACGTGGCTTATCATCGCCGTCATCACCCCCACCCCGGCCGCCTTTGTCTCCCCAGTGGCGATGTTTACACACTGCTCACGTCCACCGACCCCACCAGTGACGATTATCTGAACCGATCCTGGGCCTCCCCCTAGGTCGACTCAGCCTCAAATGAGTACCTGGTGCGGTGTGTAGTAAACATCGTCACTGGGGAGACAAAGGCGGCCGGGATGGGGGGGGTGTTGACCATCCCACCCCTTCGCTTCCGTAGCGTTGCTCGCTAACAGCACTTGCCCCCGACCAACAGCATTGTTCAAGGCTACACGGTGGGGGGGGACATTTGGGACCGTCCATAAATGACGTCACGCATCTGGGGGGGGGGGTCAGACATTTGTGACGATGCGTGACGAGGGGGGGGGGTGAGAAATGTGACGTCACATAAAAATGCGCAACATAAATATAGAATTGTTATAACACTAATTGTAATAACAACACTAATTGTTATAACAAAACTCCTACAACATCAAGAGTGCAGCGCCACATTAACAACGCACTATAATGACAATAGTTTAAAGCGATTTGAAGCATGTTTTATTTTCAAAATGGAAATGTTTTTTTTGGGGGGGGGGGGGGGGAGCTTTGTGACGTCATATTTGAGTGGGGGGGGGGGGTCTGACTTTTTGTGACGCCGTGTGACGAAGGGGGGGGGGGGTCAAAATCACGTGACGTCGTTTATGGACGGCCCCTTTTGTCTTTGCAACTTTGTCGGTGCCCCCAGGGCGCTTTGCGTCTTCTTTTCTTTCCCACCGAGCCACCCACCCACTCACCATCATCACTACCACACCACCACCATCATCACCACCACTACCACTACCATCACCACCACGCTACCACCACCACCACTACCATCACCACCACTACCATCACCATCACAAGTCGCTGGCTTGGGTTCGTGCGCCCACTCCACTTATCGGCATCTCCATTAGCGCAAGTTCGGAGTAGGGAGGCTCGCAGCGATGGTGCTGGCTCTGGTGAGTAAGCGAGTGGTGAGCATCCACCACTCGCAACACACCAACACCACACCGACACCACACACACACCACACACACCAACACCACACCCACACCACACACACACCAACACCACACACACCAACATCATACCCACACTACACACACCAAAACCACAAACACCAACACCACACACACACCAACACCACACACCACACACACCAACACCACACACACCAACACCACACACCAACACCACACACACACCACCCCACCAACACCACACACACACACACCCACACCACACACACCAACACCACACCAACACCACACCCACACCACACCCACACCACACACCAACACCACACACCACCCACACACACCAACACCACACTCACACCACGCACACCAACACCACACACCACACACACCAACACCACACACACACCAACACCACACCAACACCACACACACCAACACCACACCCACACCACCAAAACCACACACACACCACACACACCAACACCACACACACACCAACACCACACACACACCAACACCACACACACCAACACCACACACACACCAACACCACACACACACCACCAACACCACACCCACACACCACACACACCAACACCACACACACCACCAACACCACACACCAACACCACACCCACACCACACACACCAACACCACACTCACACCACACACACCAACACCACACACACACCACACACACCAACACCACACACACACTACACACACACCACACACACCAACACCACACACACACCAACACCACACACACACCAACACCACACACACACCACACACACACACCACACACACACACCACACACACCAACACCACACCAACACCACACACACCAACATCATACCCACACTACACACACCAAAACCACACACACCCACACCACACACACCAACACCACACAAACACCACACACACACACCAACACCACACACACCAACACCACACACACCAACACCACACACCAACACCACACACACATCACCCCACCAACACCACACACACCACACACACCAACACCACACCAACACCACACACACCAACACCACACCCACACCAACACCACACCCACACCACATACCACCCACACCACACACACCAACACCACACTCACACCACACACACCAACACCACACACACACACCACACCAACACCACACCAACACCACACACACCAACACCACACCAACACCACACCACCAAAACCACACACACACCACACACACCAACACCACACACACACCAACACCACACACACTAACACCACACACACCAACACCACACACACACCAACACCACATACACAACACCAACACCACACACATAACACCAACACCACACCCACACACCACACACACCAACACCACACACCACCAACACCACACACACACCACACACCAACACCACACCCACACCACACACACACCAACACCACACCCAAACCGACACCACACACACACCACACACACCAACACGCGTCGCATGATAGCAGCGTTGGGTGTAGCCCGCGCGGTGTGTTACAAACTCCCTTGCTCTGCGTTGTTGTGGAGTTTGTCTTTGTGGGTGTGTCTTTGTGGGTGTGTGTCTTTGTGTGTGTCTTTGTGTGTGTGTGTCTTTGTGTGTTTGTGTCTGTGTATGTCTGTGTCTGTGTGTATATGTGTGTGTTTGGGTGTGTATGCGTGTATTCATGTGTCTGTGTGTGTCTGTCTTTGCGTGTGTCTATATGTGCGTGTCTATGTGTGTGTGTCTGTGTGTTTGTGCGTGTGTCTTTGTATGGGGAGCGATAGTGTAGCGGTTAGCGCGCTGCGCTATGAACCTGGCGACCCGGGTTCGATTCCCGCTCACGGCCAACACCAGTGACGATTATCTGAACCGGTCCCGGGCCTCCCCTAGGTCGACTCAGCCTCAAATGAGTACCCGGTGCGGTGTGTAAACATTGCCACTAGGGAGACAAAGGCGGTCGGGCGTGGTGCTGGCCACCCACCCCCTCGTGTACCGTTCCGGCCTTCATAGGTGCTCGCTAACAGCACTTGCCCCTACAGTATGTTAAGGCTATATGGGGTATCTTTGTCTTTGTGTCTGTGTGCCGCGGGCGTTCGACACTTCACGTGGCCTCAAGGTGCACATGGCCTGGCACAAGCGTCGTGGTGACGTCACCGCCACTTAGTGGTGAATGGCGGTTGTTGTTGTGTGTGTCTACGTGTGTGTCTCATGGCCTCAAGGTGCACACGTAGACACACACGTAGATACAGATAGACACGTAGACACACACACGTAGACACACACACACGTAGACACACGTAGACACACGTAGACACAGACACATGTAGACACACGTAGACACAGACACATGTAGACACACACATAGACACACACACAGACAACAACCGCCATTTGACACTAAGCAGAGGTGTAGGGAATTCCAGCAAGACACCACGACGCTTGTGCCAGGCTAGGTGCACCTTGAGGCCACGTGAAGTGTCGAACGCTCGCTGGCAGGAGGTCACGGGGCAGACCCAAGTGCCACGGGTCGACTGACTGAGATGACTGGCTGTGCTTCAGCCACCCGGCGCTCCGCTCGTTGTTGTAAGCGTCGCTCCTCCGCCCTCCGTTGTTGTTGGATGCTTCCAACTGCCCAGTAGCAGCGTCCTTCACGAGCCTCCTCCACAGAGCCCGATCTTGACACCGCTGGTACCAGTCATCGACAAGTCCACTCAGCTCCACATCCTCCTGTACCACATAACTCCATCTCTTCTCTAGCCCGTGAGCATGCGGGCTACATGACCCAGCCAACGCAGCCTTGCCTGCCGGAGGAGCTCACCGATGGGACCTTGCCCACATCTTTCAAGGATTTGTGATGGGGCAGTTGTGGCAGTTGTGGATTGTGTGAGGATTGTGTGAGGAGCTCACACAATCCAGCCTGGTTAGGCAGGCTAGCCTAAATGTTTCTAACCGGCGAAGATGTTCCATTAGGGGGGTCCACGTTTCGCAAGATTGTTAAACTGGAGCCGGTCATAAGCACACTGCCCAGGTATGGGAAACTCTCCACAACTGCCCCATCACCGATTGGGAGTTGTGGGGGTGAAGTGTCCGATGGTACAAAATACCCAGGCAGGTGCTGATGGTAAGGCCCCATCTCCTCCTCTGAATGAGCAGCTATTACCAAATCATCGGCATACATAACGTGGTTGAGCAATAGGGAGCCATCCCTTGACCGCACCCGGGCATCGATCAGCCTCCTATTATATCTGTACCAAATGGAGATTCCCCCGGTACAGCTATTGAAGGCTTCACGAACTACATGGTCAAAATAGATGTTAAATAATGTGGGAGCCAGAGGACATCCCTATCGCACCCCAAGGTGTACAGAGAATGGCTCTGACTCCCGGCCACGTAGTTTTACCCGGGCCCGCTCACCATCATGAAGATCCTTAATGATCGTGAGCAGGGGGTCATGGACTCCAAAAGCACGAAGAACAACCCAGAGCCCAGGCCTACTGATAGTATCATAGGCCTTGACCAGGTCAATAAAGCAGAGATGTAGGTCTTGCTGGAATTCCCTACAACTCTGCTGTAGCAGGACCGCCCTTTCCTGAAACCGCATTGGGGCTCCGCAAGCCTCTCCTCAGCGAGCCTGGCAAGGCGATGTTGAATAATCCTTGCCAGAACCTTTCCCGGCACACTGAGGAGTGAGATGCCCCTGTAGTTACAGCCTGTGCGGTCCCCCTTCTTAAAGGGGGGGACCACCAGGGCATCCTTCCAATCCTGCGGAACCTGTCCAGTGGTCCAGACTGTTGTTATGATGTCATATAGGGCAGTCTGTGCACAATCGCCACCCTCCTTCAGCATTTCGCTTGGGAGATCATCTCTGCCTGCTGCCTTTCCTGGTCTCAGACTCCGGATCGCCTTCAGTACTTCCTCAACAGATGGCACCTCAGCCAGCCACTCACAGGGGGTGACTCCCTCCAATATTTGAGGCACCGCAGCCTCAGCAGGGTCATACACAGACACACACACAGACACACACACAAAGATCCCCCGTATAGCTTTAACAGACTGTAGGGGCAAGTGCTGTTAGCGAGCAGCATCAGCAGACCCAGCAGGTGCCACGGGGTCGACCGACCGAGATGAGTGGCCGATGCACCACCTGTGCCCCCACACACACTCACAAACCCCACACACACCTGCCAATGACATTAGTAACGTAACGTTACCAAAACAAATTTGGACAAATAATAATTTAATCCCCAAATGCCAAATGGTTATTGAGCGTTGGCTGCGTTCTCTCGACCAATCGGAGGGCGCCTCTCGCGCGTGGCGCCACCTCGGCGGCCAATGGGAGCGCGGCTCTCTCGTCGAGCCCCTCCCCCCCCCAACGGGTCCGTCAACCGTGGGTGGGGGTGCTTTGCTCCATCCACTGCTGGATGGGGCAGTCTCGGGGTGGGTGGGGTTCGCTTGGCCATACTTCACCACGCTGGGCCGTGCGGTGATTGGAGGAGGCGCGGTGGGGGAGGGGCAGGACTGACACCGCCCCGCCCCCCATGCTGGACGTCTGTGCAAAAAACAAAGAGCTTCATAGCTCATCGGATTCCTCCTGCAGTCGAATGACACGATTCTGATTCGTCACTCGCCACTGATGTTGTTAAGCCATGGCTCGCGATCAAACTCTGATGAACCGTGTTCGTATAGGGCACCATGGTGACCATGAGATGTTAACTACCTTGCCTGGTATACAGGAGGTCGTGGGTTCGATCCCGACCCTGACTACGCCTGCTGCTGCTGTATATTTGGAGTTTGCGTGTCTCTCTCTCATCATCACGGTGGCTAGGAGATGTTGACTACCTCGCCTGGTATACAGGAGGTCGTGGGTTCGATCCCGACCCTGACGATGCCTGCTGCTGCTGTATATTTGGAGTTTGCGTGTCTCTCTCTCATCATCATCACGGTGGCTAGGAGATGTTAACTACCTCGCCTGTTCTACAGGAGGTCGTGGGTTCGATCCCGAACCTGACAACGCCTGCTGCTGCTGTATATTAGGAGTTTGCGTGTCTCTCTCTCTCTCTCCGCGTGGTCACTGCGTGGATTTGTCTCCGGGTCCTCCTCCGGTTTTCCCCTCCACATTTAGAAACACGCTTTCAGAGTACAGTATTTGCCTGCTTGCTGTACATTCCCACGTGATGGTGATGAGCCGCTTTGCTGAGCTGTCGTTTGTGGCCGGGTCGCTTCGGAACAAGAGCAATATAGCTCAGTAGGTAGGGCCTTACCTGGTCAAATAACACAAGTCTCAATGTGCAGTGGCGCTAACCACTGCGCCACCGCTCCAACCCATTGCTGATGGTGACATTGCAACAATATATTAATTTCTAACGCGATACCACACACACAGGCTTATTGAGTTGAACACGTAGGCTTTCGCGACCAATATCGTCCATAATAGAGGTTTTTTTGGGGTGAGATCGCGTAAATGTGTGTTGTTAAATCCGCCACCACCCGACCCAGCCAACTAGTAAGGGTTGTCACGTAAACAGAACGTGGCCAATTCGTCACTAGTACAGCACTAGTCTATAGTAGTGTAGTGTATAGTGTAGTATATTAGTACAGCACTAACCGGTGTGTTGGAGAGCCAAGCCACAACAGGCTTATTTATTTAAAAAAAAATATATATATATACCGTATATATCTACTATAGTATGCGGATGAGCTGTCAAGCGACGTACATTATTGCTCTGTTGTGCAGGGCGGGTTAGCAAAGTGTGGCCGAATCAATTCGTAAAATCGGGCAGAGCTTAAGTGTGCGACCCTCTTGTGTGTGTTGGAGAACGTGCGCGTGCGGAAGTTGATATTGCAGAACTAGCTTGGATCACGTTTTGGGCAGTAACCCCTTTGGTAAAGTTCCGAATAAAAACATCATTCCACTAAAATGTCACTCGCAATGGATCGGAGTTATCACGACAAAGTTATGGACTTTGACTGGCAGATATTTTGCTGATTGATAAAGAGGTTTTTTTTCTTGGGTTAGATCGCTTAAAATGTGTCGTTAAACCCGCCACCTACCCGACACAGCCAATTAGTAAGGGGTTGTCGCGTAAACTAAACGTGCCACTTTGTTACTAGTTCAGCACTCACCGGTGTGAGAGTAAACCCACTACAGCATTTCCAATTCGAGCACAGCGACTCATTCGCCGGACAATTCAAACGAACCAGCCTCGTCAGGCGACAGCCTGAATTGTGAATTAATCCTCCTCCCGCTTGTGCTCCCTCTCCCGCCACCCTGCAGGTGCTCACCGTGATCCTGGGTGGCCTGGCGTTTGTGATATTCATGCTCAAGGGGTTATTCTCCGGAGGCTCGGCCAGCAAAGACCCCATCACTCTCAAGGATCCCAGCATCAAGTACCCGCTGCGTTTGGTCGACAAGGAGGTATTACGGTGGGGGGGGGGGGGGGGGGCGCCGGGTTCGATCCCCGACTGTGGCGGTGGGGTGGGTTGGGGTGACCGTCGCTCTTTTACCCCTTGCCGGGCCGACGTCTTCCCCTATGATTGTGTCCCGTCAAGCGAGGCCGAACATACGGGGGCGGGGGGAGATGGACAACAATACAAACGAGGACAAATTATCCATAATAGATTTTTTTTTTTGGGTTAGATCGCGTAAATGTGTCGCTAAAACCCGCCACCACCCGACGCAGCCAACTTGTAAGGGTTGTTACGTGTACAGAACGTGGCCTATTCTTCACTAGTACAGCACACCGGTGTGTCGGACAGCCAAGCCACAACATTTACAATGTGGGTACGACGTTTCGCCAGTAATTACGACCAGCTTCATCAGGCGACAGACAAAAACATTTATGGATATTGGTCTCGAAAGCCTTCGTGTTAAACTGAGGACAAACGGGATCGCCGGCGTCGACGAGACGGGAGTTGAGTGCGTGCAAAACAGGACGGGCACAAAAAGTCGACAGAATTAGACGGTGCCGGTGCAAGTGTCGCAGGCGGTACCAATGGGGCACGGATCTGCAGACGAGACAGTACTGGGTCCGTTAAAGCAAACGAGGAAGAGAAAGGTCATCCGAAACGACATTCCTTTGTCTTCAGAAGTATTTCATTAGTGCTACGGCAGCCTAACAGGTTAGCGGTCAGGACAAAATGCGATTGCATGTTTGCAAGTAAGTCCTTAGTGCACGCTTTCCGTCACCCAGTTTTAGGGCAATTGTCCAATAGCGCAATCGTCCAATTGCGCTATTGCGAGTCCCTGACGGCGACACAACTTCGCACTGAGGTTTCATTCGCATAGGATCGTCCGCGCGAGCATTCACTGTGACCCTCGCCGCCACAGGCGGGGTTCGTGCGTTCACGCTCTCAGACTTAGTTGGGAAGCGTGGAAGAAAAGTGACTCCTCGGGCCGAATGGCGACCCTGAATCGCAACGGTTCCGTCAAATCGCGAGTTGTCACCTGCAACAGTTTATACGAACGTACAGATCATCGATTATCCGGCACTACGCGATTATCCGGGCTAATTCCAACGTTATCCGGCGGTCCTGGGCCGATTCGGAGAAAGCGGCAAAATCGCTCCAAAGGCTGTAACCAGTCTGGCGATTGGCACGGTGTAGCACGTGACAACAATTTTTTTTAGCTACACTTGATTTCAGTGTCAAATATTATATGCGCTACATTATACACTACATACAACTTAAACAATGAAAATAACGCACGTGTATATATAGATCACCCCATGATGCAGAGTCTTCGAGGTTTGAGTGTTCAGTACGGAACCATAAATACGGTAAATTTTTAACGTAGGATATTTATTTTTGTCCGTTTGTATGTTTATTTGTGCAAATTTAACATCGTAAACAAATTTATTTGAAATCGTGATGATTAGTGATTATCCGGCGTTTTTGAAAATCCGGCGCCCCCTCCGAAGCCGCCGTATAATTATCGATGTTCTGCTGTATCGGTGTTTTTTTTATCGGATTATTTGTTCCTCTTACTCGGTCTCCTGCTCAAAAAAAGCAGTCGGGGGCAAAGGTCATCTCTGTCGGGAGGCCCTGAACTGGTGGTACAAGTTACACGCGTGTGTGTGCGTGCGTGCGTGCGAGCGCGTGTGCACGTGGCCCTCTTGTCAATCCATTCGCCGAATGACGGCCTCCGCTTCATTCCAGGTGGCCCAGAACGCGCCCGCCCGATCTCGTGAGACCGCCCCTGCAGGCGAAAACAAGGATTGAGCCGGGAATGGCGCTTGGAATCTTGGGACGGGCCACCGCCCTGCACGACATTAAGTCGTTGCGGGGCTGCCCCTGGGGTGTTAAGGGGCAACGCAACAAAGGCCAATTGTGTATTTCTGCAACAGCGCTTCTGCGCTTTGCTGCTTCACGGAGCCCCGTACTCTCACAGTTTGGTGAAGTATGGTCGTGTAAACCCACACGACCCTATGCCCAGGGGAGACCCCTCATCCAGGATGATTGTGGAAGATTGTCGCACTTCACATGCAGCAGGTCACCGACTAGCACCTCCGATTGGCACGGTCGGCTACGTACGGTGCGTAAGAAGTTCAACGTACGTACGTAGGTGCCATTGACACAGCCACTGTGAAGCTCCTGAGAGAGAGAGACACCGAGGCCCAGAGTTTAAATCCAGGAACTGATCGGTACTGGCCGACCGGCTCCGACATGGCCATTATGAACGTCCCGAGAGAGACACCCACAACTAGGGCTTGAACCCAGGCAACTCCGCGGTATGGCGTGTTGCCACGTGTTACTGTCAATTTAAATAGCTGCGTCGTTGGGGCATCGCCAACTGCTGGTATGGATTTAGTTTTTTTTTCTAAATCAGAGTCCAGTGAACCCTTTGGTGTGAGCGTGTTCGCGTTCTCAACGCACGTGGGTTCAAGGTCCGGTGTTTGTCCGTGTCCCGAGCGCCGGTTGTTTCTAAATGCCTCTCGCTCTCTCTGGAGTTTCGCAATGGCCAGGTCAGGCGTGCCTGTGACCTACGCGTATGATGTCATACGTGGGAATCTAAGCAAGGGTTGCAGGCCCATGGGGGAGGGTTGAGGCGGTTGCAGGCCCATGGGGGGGGGGGGGGGGACATGTGCAGCAACATCCGTTGTTGAACTTCACTTCTGTGCTCCGAGGCTTTTGTCGAGTGAAATTCGGAACGTTTAAGGGAAACGTTCTGACCATCAAACGAAGACGGTCACCGCATCGCGCCCTTTCGGATGCGCTGCTTCTGCGGCCGTCTGGAACGCTCTTCCGATATAAAATCATCGTCGAGATTGACAAAACTAATTTCTTTAGAACTGCTTTTTGTGTTTCGTTTGGTCGACCTTGCCACACACCTCTGATTAGTACGGTTGGCTACGTACGGTGAGAAAGAATATCGTAATGGGACCTTCCAACGCTGCTTGAGACTCGGCTCTAAAGACCAATCGGTGTCAAAAGACAATGCATCATAAACTAGCAGAGCATGTTTTTTTTGTTTGCATGTTCACCACAAGTATATGTGGTCAATGCAGACATGATTCCCTGCAAAAGGTTCCTTTTCGGTGTTTTAACATCTTAACACAGCTGTTTTATTGCCAGAAAGGGTAAAACCTATTTTTATATGGTGAGAAAGCAGTTCAACATATGTACATAATCGACGAGAAACCCATCCAGACAGAAAGTTCTAAAGAAATTAGTTTTCTCACGTATACGTAATGTAACGGTGTGTTATGTCAATAGTCCCGTGAGCAGGTGTGGTTGCGTCAGTCCAATGCGCCGGGAACGCAGCAGCTCCACGCTTAGCCGGGCGGCTTCTCGTGCCGGCTCGGCTGCCCGTGGTGCCGCTGCCGTGTCGGCTCCCGGTGACGGCTGTTCTACCCCCCCCCCCCCCCACTCTCTCCGTTTGCCCACTCGGCAGATCATCAGCCACGACACGAGGAAGTTCCGCTTCGCGCTTCCGTCTCCGCAGCATGTGCTGGGACTGCCCGTGGGTGAGTCCCTGTCGCTGCAAGGATGGGATACAATCATCGTCGTCGTCGTCCATGGTCTATGCACTGCTAGATGACGGCCTTGCCCCAAGCCGCCGCTCGCGGAGCTCCGTCCAGTGCCTGCGCGGCAGCTGGTGGCGTCGCTCGGTCTCCGCGGTGGGCGTCCCCTTGAGTGTCGAGGGCACCACGGTGGCTAGGAGATGTTAACTCCCTCGCCTGGTATGCAGGAGGTCGTGGGTTTTTCGATCTGGACTCTGACGACGCCTGCTGCTGGTTTTCTGTCATTATTGGCCAAGTAAATACCCCCCGCGCCTTCAAGGCTGATGCGCTACGCTAGCGGAGCAGCGTGTTTTTCGTGTCCATTCCAAGAGAGTGAATTTCACGTTCATGATATGAGACTTGAGCTCCAGGGGAGATCAGCTTTTGGGATGAACGTATTGATTGAGATCTGCCTCTCGGGAGATTGGGTTTTGGGTTCAGAGTCTTGAAACACAACTCCAGGAGACCAGGTTACAGGATCTTGATTGAGACCCAAACAATTGAGACTCAAACGTAGTAAATTATATATTTTATATCTATGGGGGACACTTTCTTCCAGTATCAAGATGAAGACAACAAAAGAATAGGCTTAAGCCTTTCCAGCAAGAACACGGATGTTATAAGATGTTGAAATACCAAATACTACAAGGCATCAAGCCTGCATTAACCACAAGCAGTTGTGGTAAAAATGCAACAACAACAAAATTTTCACCGATAAGGCACGCGTTGTTCTTGAAACTGATTGGCCTACACCAGAGACAGCCTCCTTGATGGCCTTGTCTCACCGCCGGCGTTACATCGGAGAAACGCCAAAAGGCAAAAAACAGCACAAGGACAATGCAAATATTAAAGCATCAATAGCTCGGGACCGAGCGGTAAGTTATGATAGCCTATTAAAGTGGTGTGCGCGTTTGTGTGTCATTGGGGCTGCCAGGTCAGCACGTGTACCTGACGACCAAGGTGGACGGGAACCTGGTGATCCGGCCCTACACGCCGGTGTCACGCGACGAGGATAAGGGCTACGTGGACCTCGTGGTGAAGGTGAGACGGTCCCGTCATCCCGGTCGCACGTCACCCCGGTGTCACGTCACCCCGGTCGCACGTCGCCCCGGTGTCACATCACCCCGGTCGCGTCACACCGGTCGCACGTCGCCCCGGTCGCACGTCACCCCGATCGCACGCCACCCCAGTCGAACACCACTCCGGTCGCTCGTCACCGCCGCCACGTCACCCCGGCGGTGCTAGTTTAGTCAAGTTGTAGTCCGTGCGTGATGTCATTTTCTCAGTCGTATGTACTGTACGTCGAACTTCTTTTGCACCGTACGTAGCCAACCGTGCTAATCGGAGGTGCGGGGCAAAGACAACAAACTAAACGCAAAAAGCAGTTCCAAAGAAATGATTTTGTCAATCGAGATGACGACTGAAAAGTTCTATAGCTCCAGTGGCTTCCTAACATCGAAAGCAAGAGCGTTCCAGACGGCCACAGAAGCGCGCGATGCGGCGACCACCGTCTTCATTCGATGGCCAGCCGACAGCCGCTGCTACGAGGATGACCGGAGTATTGCGTGACGCGCGTGTGTGTGTCGTGTGTGTACGTGTGTACACGTGTGACGCGTGTGTGTACGTGTGTGACGTGTGTGTGTACGTGTGTACGTGTACACGTGTGACGTGTACGTGTGCGAGCGCAGGTCTACTTCAAGGGCGTCCACCCGAAATTCCCAGAGGGCGGGAAGATGTCCCAGTACCTGGACCAGATGAACATTGGCGACGGCATCGACTTCCGCGGGCCCAACGGCCTCCTGGTCTACAAGGCTCCAGGCGAGAGGGGGACGCGGTGGCGGGTGACGCTGACGCGGGAATGGGGCGGGCTCCCGTGCAGTGGCATCGGCAGCGTGGTTGGCACGCCCGGGCTACCCCCCCCCCCCCCTCTTCGACCCACTGGCGCGGGTGCAATCGCACCGCCTGCACACCTTGACGGCTACGCCACTGACTGAACCCGAGCAGAGACTTCAGTCCGTTGTGTCGAAGAGCTTCTTGAATGTACGCCGCTTGACTGTAGGGGAGGCTGAGTCCAGCAGCTCTGAGCCTCTTGAATTAACAATGGACCCTTTGGTAGTCTTAGTCTAGATCAGTGTTGTTAATTGCAAGGCCCCGCGGGTGCCTTTAGTGCGCACCCCCCCCCCCCCCCGGCCAACACACGAACGGTGAAAACACCCCCCATCATCACCGTAGTCGCCGTGCCGCCGTCACGAACCCCAACAACGCTTCCAAACGCGTGACGGTCCTGACGCCCGACGGCGACGTATCGGCGCGCTCTGTCCCGCGCGTCGCACTGCGAGCGAGCGAGCGAGGATACTCTTCTCTCGTCGCTCGGCGGTAAACGCTCGGATCGACCGCGGATTTTGATCGCCAGCCGACTCTTCGGCTCGGGCCGCTGCCGTTTCCCACCCCCCACATTCAGGTGTCTTCGCCATCCGGCCCGACAAGAAGTCGGAGCCGCAGGAGCGCAAGGTGCGGCGGCTGGGCATGATCGCAGGGGGCACGGGTGAGCCCGCCGGTGCTGCCACGCGCTTTTACAGTGTCATTGAAACATTCGTTTCTTCAGAACTGCTGCTGCTGCTCGTTGTCTTTAGTTTGCTTGCCCCCCCCAGCCGCTGCGCGCCTCCAGTCAGCGCGGTTGGCTATGTACGGGGCAAAAGAAGTTCAATATGCATGCATACATAGACTCACAGAGACCCACAGGCTCGCACAGAGACCCACAGGCTCGCACAGAGACCCACAAACTCAAACAGAGACCCACAGGCTCGCACAGAGACCCACAGACTCGCACAGAGACCCACAGACTCACACAGAGACCCACAGACTCACACAGAGACCCACAAACTCACACAGAGACCCACAAACTCACACAGAGACCCACAGACTCGCACAGAGACCCACAGGCTCACACAGAGACCCACAGACTCACACAGAGACCCACAGACTCACAAAGAGACCCACAGACTCACACAGAGACCCACAGACTCACAGAGACCCACAGACTCACACAGAGACCCACAGACTCACACAGAGACCCACAGACTCACACAGAGACCCATAGACTCACAAAGAGACCCACAGACTCACACAGAGACCCATAGACTCACAGAAAACTATAGACTCACACAGAGACCCATAGACTCACACAGAGACCCACAGACTCACACAGAGACCCACAGACTCACACAGAGACCCACAGACTCACACAGAGACCCATAGACTCATAAAGAGACCCACAGACTCACAGAGACCCACAGACTCACAGAGACCCACAGACTCGCACAGAGACCCACAGGCTCGCACAGAGACCCACAAACTTGCACAGACTCACACAGAGACCCACAGACTCGCACAGAGACCCACAGACTCACACAGAGACCCACAGACTCACACAGAGACCCACAGACTCACACAGAGACCCACAGACTCACACAGAGACCCACAGACTCACACAGAGACCCACAGACTCACACAGAGACCCACAGACTCACACAGAGACCCACAGACTCACACAGAGACCCACAGACTCACACAGAGACCCACAGACTCACACAGAGACCCATAGACTCACACGGAGACCCATAGACTCACACACAGAGAGCCATAGACTCACACAGAGACCCATAGACTCAGAGACCCACAGACTCACACAGAGACCCACAGACTCACACCGAGACCCACAGACTCACACCGAGACCCATAGACTCACACACAGAGAGCCATAGACTCACACAGAGACCCATAGACTCAGAGACCCACAGACTCACACAGAGACCCACAGACTCACACAGAGACCCACAGACTCACAAAGAGACCCACAAACTCGCACAGAGACCCATAGACTCACATAAAACTATAGACTCACACAGAGACCCATAGACTCACACAGAGACCCACAGACTCACACAGAGACCCACAGACTCACACAGAGACCCACAGACTCACACAGAGACCCATAGACTCACAGAAAACTATAGACTCACACAGAGACCCATAGACTCATAAAGAGACCCACAGTTTATTCTTACCGCGCACCTCCGATGAGCGTGGCTGTGCGTACACTGTACGACGATGTCGTACCTCGCACGGTCCACGATAATCGTTTTTAGATGACGTCGGTCAGCGCTGTGCGTGCGTGCGCTTGCTAACAGCACTTGCCTCAACAGTGTGTTTAGCCTGTATGGGGGATCTTTGTATTTGTGGCCCAGCACTCCCCGTGTCCGGTATCGTGTTCAGGAATCACTCCGATGCTGCAGCTCATCCGGCAGATCGTGAACAATCCCGCAGACAAGACCACGTGCCACCTCATCTTTGCCAACCAGGTGGGTTCAAATGCCACAACACTCCTCGTCATACCACAACACTCCTCGTCATACCACAACACTGCATGCCTCGCCACAACACACCGCTTCATCACACACCATGCCACAGGAGAACAAACCACAACATGCCACACTCTGCAATGCCGCAACACACCATGTCGCACCACAACACACCACTACCACAACACACCATGTCGCACCACAACACACCACTACCACAACACACCATGTCGCACCACAACACACCACTACCACAACACACCATGTCGCACCACAACACACCACTACCACAACACACCATGTCGCACCACAACACACCACTACCACAACACACCATGTCGCACCACAACACAGCACTACCACAACACACCACTACAACACACCACTACCACAACACAACACACCATGCCACACCACAACACACAGCTACCACAACAAACCATGCCACACCACAACACACCACTACCACAACACACCACTACCACAACACACCGTCTGAATGGGTCCTGGGCCTCCCCTAGGCCGACTAAGGCTCAAACGAGTACCTGGTGCGGTGTGCAGTAAACATCGCCACTGGGGAGACAAAGGCAGCCGGGCGTGGAGCCGGCCACCCGCCCCCTCGTGTGCCGTGACGGCCCTCATAGGCGCGGCTACTCGCAAACAGCACTCGCCCCATCGGTCTGTCACAGGCTACACGGGGGATCTTTGTCTTTGTGTGGCCGCGTGCAGGAGGAGAAGGACATCTTGCTGCGCGCCGAGCTGGAGGAGGTCGCGGCTGAACATCCGCAGAAGTTCAAGCTGTGGTTCACACTCGACCGCGCACCACAGGGTACAGGCCACACCGCCAGCAACACGGCCACCCACCTGCCTGCCTACCTGCCCAAATACTTACCTCCTCACCTACCTACCCACCTACCCATCCATCAGCCCGACTACCTGCTTGCTAAACTACCTACCCACCCATAAGACCTATCGTTCCTGCACAACTACCCACCCATTCACCTACCTATCTACCCTTTTATCTGCCCACCGACCTCTCCACCTGACTATCTACTGCCTATCCTTGTGTTTGTCTACCCGCCCAGCTACCTGCCTGCCTTACCCACCTTTCCACCCACCCATGTGCCCTGTCTGTCTCCCCCCAACCCACCACGTCCTGGCTACCTCGTCGACGCCTCCGTGATCAGTCCCGCCGCTAGAGGGAGGCGACGAAGCACACAAAAAATCCCAACACCAAAGGCGGGTCTAAAGAAATGAGTTATGTCCCAGGTTGAAGACTCACTTAAATCTTGACTTATATTCTTTGGGTCTTTCGGTAAAGTCGCGTAGATGGGTTAAAAGAAAATAACAAAAAAATAACAAACAAAAAACTACGTTTCGATCGCAACACAAGCGATCGTCCTCCTGATGATGATCGCTTGTGTTGCGATCGAAACGTGCAGGTGTGTTGGGCTGATCGACGGCTAGGTAGGCGAGGGGGTGGGGGGTAGGTTTTTAGGCAGGTAAATGAGATATGTGGGTGGGCAGGTAGAAAGGCGCTGGTGGGCAGGTAGACCGCTCTTGTGTGGAACCGCGAGTTGGCCCCCACGGCCTTCGGTGGCAGGGGGGGGAGGAGGAGGCCTTGATCCGGCGGCAGATTGAACCACGGCTGACGACATGACCACGATAACGAGTGCGCGGCCGCGTTGTACCTCCGTGTCTTCCCCCCCCTCCCCCCCCGCCAGGCTGGGAGTTCGGCCAGGGCTTTGTGAACACGGCGATGGTGCGCGAGCACCTGCCCCCGCCCTCGGCCGACGTACTCGTGCTCATGTGCGGACCGCCGCCCATGCTGCAGTTCGCGTGCAACCCCGCGCTGGACGAGCTGGGGTACGCCGCCACGTCGCGGTTTGCCTACTGAGCTCGCGCGCGACGGCACGACGCCGGGCAGGGGGCGCTCGTCCGCCCGCTCGCTTGCTAAGTCGCTCACTCATCTACTCCCACAGTGAGATTGAGACTTGCTTGCTCGCTCACTCGCTCACTCGCTCACAGACAGTCATTTCAGGCAACCCATTCTCCCTGACACACTCGCCCACTCGTACACTTACACACTCCCTCGCTAAGTCGCTCACTCATCTACTCCCACAGTGAGATTGAGACTTGCTTGCTCGCTCACTCGCTCACAGACAGTCATTTCAGGCAACCCATTCTCCCTGACACACTCGCCCACTCGTACACGTCTATTCACCCAACCGTCGCTCACTCACTTCCCACAGTGAGGTCGAGACTCGCTGGCACCCATTTGCTCACTCACCCTCATATACTTACACACCCACTCACTCAAAAACACTTACACACTCCCTCGGATACACTCACTTTCTCATACACTCACTCTCTCATACACTTACACACTTCCTCTCATACACGCACACACTCTCATACTCTCATACACTTACTCTCATACACTTACACTCACTCTCAAACACTTACACATTCACCTACTCATACACGTATTCACCCAACCATCCGCTCGCTTGGCACCCGTGTAACGGCTTGCAATGTTGACGGCGCTACAGAAATTGTCGTCATTATTCTTTGCTCTCAGACGCCGCTGCTGCGGTTTTTGTTTGCTTGCGTCGAGACCAGCGAAGCAGGGCTCACGGTGAGGCTAAGGGGCAGAGCGCTGCGATTTATGCCACTGAATGCAAAACCACGAGACCAAAAAGCTAACCTTAACGGAGGTTTCGGCTCCTCATCGCATCCGTCCATGTCTGGCCAAAGCGTCATTTGCAATAACCCCTAACCACAGCCCAACCCGAACCTCGGTACTGTTTGTACTGCCGCCTTTGCTAGATTTTTTTTCTGGATTGCGCTTAACTGGGTTAGAACTACATCTGGGAGGTGAGCAGTGACTGCGGTGAAGGGCGATACATCACTCGCAAGACATTGTGGTATATAGTGTGGGACTATGCGAGTCTGTGGGTCTCTGGGTTCTCTGTGCGAGTTGACCTCTAGGTCTTCTGTGCGAGTCGTATGAGCGTATGCAGGTCTCTGGGCGAGTCTGTGGGTTTTGTCTGTATGGATTTCTGTGGGTCTCTGCGTGGGTCTTAGTCTATGGGCCAATGCAAGGCGGTGGTTCTGTGCGAGTCTGTTTGTGACTGGCGAATTGCAATCCATCACTCGTCATCGCTCACAAAAAATAGAGAACCCCATTCTGGCTAACCTCGGGCACCATCATTAATGGCTTTTCCAAACTCGCTCTACAGTTACAGGCCCAGCCTGGTGCTGTTTCAAACATGGCAAACAAAGGTGCCTATTTGTTCTCTCATCCTAACCTGGACCCAAACTCCTACCTCAAACCGTGAGCCACACTACTTAGATATATGTCGGCCTACCAGTTCAGTTTGTACTGAAATCTACTCCCGAATTCCGTTTCTCTGCACGCGAACGATCCCAGGGAGACGTGGTCTTACGTTGGGGAAATGTGCAAACATTTAAAACGTGGAAGTGGCTCGTGGTACCTTGGAATGGAGTTTGATGGATTTTTCTCTTTTTTACACGATTTCCTTAATTTCTAATTAAACCAAGCCCCGTGCAGGATTAACTTAAATAAACGCTATACGTGCATTAAAAGTGAGGTATGTGTTTTTTTATTATTATCGTAATTTGTGAAACGCTTAAAATGGTTAACAGATTTGCACTGTTCATTGAAATGTGGTGGCGTGTTGCTTCATTACGCAATATTTAACTGACAACAGATTTGTCCATTTGAACATGCCACTTGGGCAACGCCAGATTATCAGTGCCCACTGCTGTCTGTACACACTTAACGGCCTATGCTCCCCCCCCCCCTCCGCACTTGCCCTTGTTCCAAGCGCTTATCTGGTATCGATGTACCCCCCTCGCAAGAGCTCGCCGTCCCAGTGTCACCTCCGATTAACACTGTTGGCTACGTACGGTGCGAAAGAAGTTCAACATACACACATACATACGTCCCCATGTCTCGTGTTGCCTGAGCATCTGCGGGTCGCTGTTCCCCCCCGTGTCGCGCTATTCCTGTCCCGTTTCCATGTGTCCTGCCGTGACCCCTGCCTCCTGGTGTATCCCTGCATCCTCCACGTCTCTACCCGTGTCCCAGCGTCTCCTCCCATGTCCTACTGCCTCTACCTGTGTCCCCACCGTCTCCCATCTCACCTCCGTGTCCCCGCCCTCTCCCGGGGGACCCCCGCCGTGTCCCCGGCTACGCTTGCTCAAGCTCCACGAGCACGCCGCTGCAGTCCTTGGGGTGCAGGAAGATAACGGGCTTGCCGTGCGCGCCCACGCGGGGCTCCGAGCCCAGGGGGCGAACCCCCATGGCACGCACCGCGCCCAGCGCCGCCGTCAGGTCGTCCACCTCCAGGCACACGTGGTGCAGACCCCCGCTGGAGTTTTTCGCCAGGAAGCCTGCAGCACCAGGAGAGAGAGAGAGAGAGAGAGAGAAAGCGGAGGAGCCCGGAACGGGGAGAGCATAGACGGGACGGTTAACCCCCTTGCCCATGACGTACGCGTACGTCACCAGTGTACATTGGAAGTAAAAGGCCATGTTAAACTCAACTTTTGATCTTACCGGGTAAAGCTATTTTTCACAGATGTCCAGTAGGGGTGGGTCACAGAACGTTCCAACAATACATAAAAAACCACGGTAGGAGCGCAAAGTATCGGAAGCTAAGCAAATCACTAAAAAACATACAAAATAAAACTAAACTATTTTATTTTACCAGGTAAGACCCACTGAGCTATGTAGCTCTTTTTCAGAAGCGACCTGGCTATCACAAATGATCGCTCAACCAAGCGGCTTGTCATCATCATCACTTGGAAAGTTACAGCGGCAGCCAAATTCTGGAATTGCATGCCGATTCTAAATGTGGAGGGAAAAACCGGAGGATTGGGAGAAAAAAATCCACACGACCACAGGGAGAATAAGCAAACACCGAATACACAGACGTCAGGGTCACGATCGAGCCCACGACCTCCTATATACCAGGCGAGGTAGTTAACATCTCACCACCATGCGGGAGGGCGCGTGGCACAGGTTGGCGCCAGCTACCACAGAGTGCGGTCAGTGTCGCTACGGTTCTCTGCGGCGAGTAACAATGTCTTTTAAAAAAAACAGCGGCGCTGCTACGCCTCTCTAAGTAAAATTACCGCCGAGTCGCTCACGCCCTCCGAGATACAGCGGTGAAACGGGGACACCCACCCTGCAACCTGCAGAATACACACGTTTCCAAAGGGCCAAAGGCTTAAGAGAACGGTAGCGTCGGGCAGCCGATGAGAACAAATGTGGAACACGCGGGAGGCGCGGAGTATGCAAGATGTCCCGAGGCAGCCTTGAGGACGTAGAATAAGAATGTGGGACAACGCGAGATGTGGAGGGGGGTGGCGCCGCCACGGAGTGTCACCTGCGATGGGACTTTTATCTCCCAGCGGCTCCAGGAGTTCAATCTTGGTGTTGCCCAGGTCCACGAACACCGTGGAGACGCCGTGCTCCGGCAGCGGCACGACGCCACTCACCTGCGGGCGGTAATCGCGCGGCACTCGCCAAAACCGCGGCCGGAGGGCTGCACGCAGCAGGGAAAACAATCCGCGTCTTGGCCAACCCGCGGCAAAGCGGTCCTCGCTATAACGTGGCCGGCAGGTTTGAACCCGTGGCAAACCGCTGGCGAACGCACGGCACGGACCCCTTTATCCGCGAATTAAAAAAAAAAAACTCGCTCACCAACCACGGCCGATAAATTTTAACCACGGTAAACTACAGGCCATGGCAAGCAGCACTCACATACTGGGGCCAATAGATGTTAACACGGCAAACTGCTTTCGCCACAAAATACATCTGAAACAAGAACGTTTTCAATCGGTAGATATTATCTGCTATGACATATGTATGTACGTACAGTGAGGGAAAAAAAGTATTTGATCCCCTGCTGATTTTGTACCCCTCTGCAAAACATGACTTAGTACTTGGTGGCAAAACCCTTGTTGGCAATCACAGAGGTCAGACGTTTCTTGTAGTTGGCCACCAGGTTTGCACACATTTCAGGAGGGATTTTGTCCCACTCCTCTTTGCAGATGTTCTGAAAGTCATTAAGGCTTCGAGGCTGACGTTTGGCAACTCGAACCTTCAGCTCCCTCCACAGATTTTCTATGGGATTAAGGTCTGGAGACTGGCTAGGCCACTCCAGGACCTTAATGTGCTTCTTCTTGAGCCACTCCTTTGTTGCCTTGGCCGTGTGTTTTGGGTCATTGTCATGATGGAATACCCATCCACGACCCATTTTCAATGCCCTGGCTGAGGGAAGGAGGTTCTCGCCCATGATTTGACGGTACATGGCCCAGTCCATCGTCCCTTTGATGCGGTGAAGTTGTCCTGTCCCCTTAGCAGAAAAACACCCCCAAAGCATAATGTTTCCACCTCCATGTTTGATGGTGGGGATGGTGTTCTTGGGGTCATAGGCAGCATTCCTCCTCCTCCAAACACGGCGAGTTGAGTTGATGCCAAAGAGCTCCATTTTCGTCTCATCTGACCACAACACTTTCACCCAGTTGTCCTCTGAATCATTCAGATGTTCATTGGCAAACTTCAGACGGGCAAGTATATGTGCTTTCTTAAGCAGGGGGACCTTGCGGGTGCTGCAGGATTTCAGTCCTTCACGGCGTAGTGTGTTACCAATTGTTTTCTTGGTGACTATGGTCCCAGCTGCCTTGAGATCATTGACAAGATCCTCTCGTGTAGTTCTGGGCTGATTCCTCACCGTTCTCATGATCATTGCAACTCCACGAGGTGAGATCTTGCATGGAGCCCCAGGCCGAGGGAGATTGACAGTTATTTTGTGTTTCTTCCATTTGCTAATAATCGCACCAACTGTTGTCACCTTCTCACCAAGCTGCTTGGCAATGGTCTTGTAGCCCATTCCAACCTTGTGTAGGTCTACAATCTTGTCCCTGACATCCTTGGAGAGCTCTTTGGTCTTGGCCATGGTGGAGAGTGTGGAATCTGATTGATTGCTTCTGTGGACAGGTGTCTTTTATACAGGTAACAAGCTGAGATTAGCAGCACTCCCTTTAAGAGTGTGCTCCTAATCTCAGCTCGTTACCTGTATAAAAGACACCTGGGAGCCAGAAATCTTTCTGATTGAGAGGCGGTCAAATACTTATTTCCCTCATTAAAATGCAAATCAATTTATAACATTTTGACATGCGTTTTTCTGGATTTTTTTGTTGTTATTCTGTCTCACTGTTCAAATAAACCTACCATTAAAATTATAGACTGATCATTTCTTTGTCGGTGGGCAAACGTACAAAATCAGCAGGGGATCAAATACTTTTTTCCCTCACTGTATACATTTTAGCGGTATAAACCCGGCGACCTGAGTTTAATTCCCACTCATGGCGAACACCAGTGACGAAAATCTGAACCGGTCCTGGGCCTCCCCTAAGTCGACTAAGCCTCAAATGAGTACCTGGTGCGGTGTGTTAACATCACCACTGGGGAGACAAAGGCGGTCTGGCGTGGTGCTGGCCACCCACCGCCTCGTGTACCGTGCCAGCCTTCATAGGTGCTCGCTAACAGCACTTGCCCCAACAGTCTGGTATGGTGGAGGTCGTGGATTCGATCCCGACAGGGACGCCTGCTGCATATTTAGATCTCACCCCAAAAAAACCCTTTATTATGAATATTGGTCACGAAAGCCTACGTGTGAAAGTTTATATTTGGAGTCTGTGTGTCTTTCTTCCTCGTGGTCGCGTGGATTTCTCTCCTGGTCCTCCAGTTTTCACCCTCTGCATTTACTCAGCCCCACTTACGAGCACTCAGATTGGCCGAAATATTGGCGCCCCGGTTGCGCATGACGTAAACACGGTACCGTTAGTCAAAATGTTCACGGTAGCCCGGAATCCATGGGGTCCCTATGGGATGCGAAACGTTAACCACAAAACTGACGTCACTGTGAACCGAGGGACTGCTGTATCGTTTCAATCGGACCGAGACATCCTTGCCTGTGCGCCCAGCACGTCTCTGTAGAGCCGCGTAGCCGCCTCCAGGTTGGGCACGGCCACCGCCACGTGGTTGAGGCGTCCCAGGCCCCACAGCCGCTCCCCGACGGCTCCCGGGAGCCTGGGGAGCAACGGGGCCCGGCAACGCTGATGATTGCCAGAGGAAGGAAGGAATCCCCGGCACTCGATCGTAAAAAAGAGCAACGTTAATAAATACACAGGTTTTGATGAAACAAAGTAAGTTTTAACTTACGTGCCCGTGCTTAATTTGTGTTCTCGATGAGTGACCTTCTAAAAAAAGAAATCTGCCCATGTCTCGCTACCCACAGAAAGGGCATCTCGCACCCCCTGGGGGTGCATGCACCCCTGGTTAAGAACCACCACTGCTCTAGTGAGTGCCCAACTAACTAAAGGGAGTGTTAACACAATGATCACTCTTCTCCACGCTGTCAGCCACCACTGGTGGAGCAGTGGCCCGGAACACCAGCCGACACTGCTGATGAGCACCAAAGAGGGAGACTGCCCAACGATCCACTTTCACTGCCCAGCAATTGGGGTGGAGTAATTATTTAATAGCTGTTTTTTTAGAATCGACCTGGCCACAAATTATGGCTAGACGGGGTCGCTTAACATCACGTGGAAATGTCTAGCAGCAGACAAATACTCGAAACGCGTGATGTTGATTCTAAATGTGGAGTGAAAAACCGGAGGGGCCCAGAGAAATATCCACGCAACCACAGGGAGAACATGCAAACTCCAAATATACAGATGTCAGGGTCGGGATCGACCCCACGAACTCCTGCATAGGTCAGTTGAACACGTAGTAAGCTATACTCTTTGGTTCTATTTTTTTACCTACGTGACTTTACCGAATAGAACCAAAGAGTATGGATCCTTGCAGTCACGAAAGCTTTAAATCTAGAACGTAGTAAGCTTTCGCGAGCAATGTCCATAACAGGTTTTTTGGGGTTAGATTGTGTAAAAATATAAATGTATCGGTAATCCCGCCACCACCCGACACGGTCAATTTATTGAGGGTTTGTCAAGTAAACAAGACGTGCCAATTCGTTACGAGCACAGCATACCCTTCTACGTGACTTTACCGGAATAAAATTTGATTTAAAGCTTTCGTGACTGCAGCGATTCATATTCTTGGTTCTTTCGGTAAAGTCACGTTGAAGGGAAACAATAAAATAATAAAATCTCAACGTGACTTACCGAAAGAACCAGGAATATTTACCGAAAGAACCAAGAATATGAATCCCTGCAGTCACGAATTGCTTTAAAACTTAAAAAACTAGTTTTTTTTATTGTGAACCGTAACAAATCTCACTTTAATCTTGATTTGAAGCTTTCGTGACTGCATGAATCCATACTCTTTGGTTCTTTCGGTAAAGTCACGTAGGTAGAAAAATAATAAAATAAGACTACAAATGTATAGATAACGACGTTTCGATCGCCACGTGAGCAAACTTCTCACTCACACCTGAAGACGATTGATGGTGTGGCGATCGAAACGTCGCGATGTATTATTATTTTTCAACCTACGTGACTTTACCGAAAGAACCAAAGAGTATGTCTCACTCTTTAATGTTTTGCAAAACGCGTGCTAATTTGTCAGTAACTCCCGAGGTATATGTTATTTTAACACCGGTGGGCTAAAGTAGTGATCTATTTTGTCTTTTGTCAACGTGACACTTTTTTTTACTGATTGGCCGTGTCGGGTGGTGGAGGGTGTCGCGACACATTTATGAATAACGCGATCTCACCCAAAAACCTTCATTATTAATTGAATCATCTGCTCTGAGCCATTTGGTGGACATTCCACATTCCTATGGGCGGGTCCAAGGCAACCACGGCACAACAATCACAAAGCGGTAGTAATTTTATCGGCCCTAAAAGAAGACTAAAACAAAGTACTGGGCAACCACCGAAAGTGAAGCCAACTTGAGGCCACACACGCGCACAACACAGTGGTACAAACTCCACATTCCTATGGCCAGGACGCTTCACGCAGACGCCGCCGCTGCCGCCGCCGCCACCACCCTCACCCGGTGTGTTGAGCGAGGCCCCGCCGTGCGGCCGTGCCGCCTGCTGCGAGGGGGCCGAGGCGGCAGGCCGCGGAGCGCCTCGGGACCCCGAGAGCCGCCGTCGGCAGCCGCAGCCTCAGCAGCTGCGTCCTCAAGGTCGCCATTGCAATCGCTGACGTCATCGCGGATCGGTTCGATTACTTCCGACGACAGAATCGCCTCGCGCGACTCCGCTGCCGCAGCCCCGGTGAACCGGGTTCCGAGGAATCGAAACGTCGCGATTACCACGCGTTGTGTATTGCAATGGGAACCGAATCGCGTTAGGCTTTTTTTTTTAAAAAGTTGGAATCGATCGTGGGGATTGGCCGCGCCGTACCGCCAGTAAGTCCTCGCTTAACGCGCGTTCGCACAACGCGTTTTCGCTATAAGGCGAATTCTCTCGTTCGGCGGGAACACTTTTTGCACAACGGTGCAGAGACTTAAGTCTGTTGTCTCTTAGGAGCTTCTTGAATGTACACTGCACTCTAGGAGCCTCAGTTTAGCAGCTCTGAGCCTCTTGAATTAACAATGGACCCTTTGGTAGTCTAGATCAGTGTCGTTCAATTTCAAGGTCCCCACAGAGGCCACTGGCGGCCCCACCCCCGCCCCCCCCCCCCCCCCCGACAACAAACAAATAGTGAAAACACTCCCCATCATCATCGCGCTGCTGTCACAAACCCAACAGCGGTTTCAAAATGTGTGCTGGTCCTCGCACTGGCGATGTCTTATCTGCGAAAGTGCGGCTTCTGAGAAGTCGCCGACGAAACAGCCTTCTTGAGCGGTGGCGGCCGAGCGGTTTAGCGTACGACACGCAGGATTGCACGGTGCCCTCAAGTTACCTGTCCCTGCATCTCAACTTGCGTGGCGTGGCGTCCGTGCACACACACGCGTCGTTATCCCGACGGAACTTTTTTTACCCTTACGTTTTATTTACGGGGGGAATTGTTTTCGCTTTAACGCAGCACTTTTTGCAAGGGTGCGTCTGCTCCTGCTTACGACTGCCGAGTTAAACGAGGACTTACCGGCCAACTCCCCAGATAATGGGGGGTCGGTACCGGGAATTGATGGAATCGCTTGTGATTTTGAATCAAGTTTTAAGCACCTCTGCACCCCCCCCCCCCCCACCTCCCCACCAAAGTAAGGAACCGCACTACTCATAACAGGTCCCAGCAGGGTGGGCTGGTAGGACAAGTCTCTGCGCTGTCTATTGCTGATTTTACACCCAACAGCACGAGATTTCACTTCGTTAAAGTATTGAAAGGGGACGGACGGACGCATTAATCTATTGCAGGCTGGTACACTCAGTTTACAACTTCGTTCCTACCAGTATAAATCCTTCATTCTGGTTTACAGACTGTACTATTGCTAGATGAATACAGGAGTACAGCACAACGATGTACATGTGCTGCTCCTGTTGTAAGCGCGACGGTGGGTCACCCAATCCCAATTCACTCTCAAGGGTCAACCCCCACATCCCCATCCCGGCTCGGGATCTGAGATCGGGCAAAAGTTGTTAATTCAACAATAGGAAACAAGTCGATAACCTGTATAGCCCATGAAGACAAGAAAGACTCTCAGTCTCAAGGCAACTCGAGAGGGACCCTGCTGAGTTTATTTCGGTAGAGGGCGACAATGAGTTTCCCCAAACGAGCAAATTTTTCTCTTTCAAAATTTGGATCTTGGAAGATTTCCCCTCAGATGATTTTGCTTTTACAAATGACTTGCGATAGTATTTATTTGTATCTATTCAAAGCAATGTTTTATTTACAAGGTAAGGACCCACTGAGCTATAATAGCTGCTTTTTCAGAAGCGACCTGGCTAGCCAAATACTCTAAACGCGCGATGTTGATTCTAACTGTGGAGAGAAAATCCGGCGGACCCGGAGAAAAATCCACGCAATCGCGGGTAGAGAGACATGCAAACTCCAAATATACAGCAGACGTCAGGGTCGGGATCGAACCCAGGACCTCCTGTATACCAGGCGAGGGGGTTAATATATCCTAGCCACCGTGGTGCCGCCAATAGCCACTCAACTAACTTATAAATTAACTTTCTCGTACACTTGATCAATCACCTACTCTCAACGAAGACCCCCACTTTTTGGACAAATGAGAATTTGTGGGCTATCGGTTTTCCATTCTCTTTCTCCGGGGCAGCCCTCACACGTGGGATACGGGAGTGAAGCGTGGTGTGGTCACACGCGCACACAAACACACACTAGGGACGCAACCAGGTGGGAGGCAAAACAGGCCGGGACTCGGAAAAGTTTGATTCATTTGTATACAATTTTGTATTTAAGAAGCATGCGACGTCACGGACACACGACTCAACAAGACACACTCTCCCCACCGGGAGTCTCGGCAGAGATTCTCACCTAGCGGTGACAATAGAGGCACTCCGCTCTGGGTTCGGTAGGGTAGTTTGGCTTACTCTTCTACGCTGGGCGTGAGTCTTGGAAGAGATGGGAGTATCCCCGCTTTAACGCCACCACGTTGCGACCTGCCAATCGACTAACAGTGGTGTAGCCAGTTATATCGACGAACAGTGGTGTAGCCATTTATACTGCAGGGTGAAGAGCCGATGGAATTCGAGAAACTTGTGCCTTCGTTTCAACTACCATGGCAGCATTCCGAAATGCAGTGATTTAGCAATGACAATACTCTTGATAATCTGCGTGTGGTTTATCCGATTTGCAGATTAACCGCGCACCTGAGATTTTCACATAAATTAACAACTCATGGATTTTCCCTTAAGCCCAAATTAATATAAAAACGGTGATACATTGTTATTCTTGAAAATGTGTATTGCAAGTCACGTGCTTAAACCGAACAAACAAGTTGCTCCCGGTTAATCAAACGTGATCGCCTCTACAGTACAGTAGTTGCACATCTTTACAACAGTGGGGGCGGAGTTTGATTGATGTTGATTGGCGTGGTTCTGCTATCATCCACTTAGCGGGCCGAGTCTTCTGCGTGGGAGCAGGGAAGTGTTATCATTACTGAGCACGCGCATCCATCGATGGATAATTGTGGATTATCCGCGATTTTTAATTATCCACTGCCATCCTCCCCGTCATTTAGCACGCCAAGTCGAGTCGACTGTCCTCAATTACAGTATGTTAGACATGCCTCATAACTGTAAAAGCTCTCCACACAATTTAGTCTGGCTTTAAGAGGTTTTATTCTAGCGCGGTGTCTCCCCAGACACCACGTGACTACCCCTCTGTTGTCGGTGAAAAATCCCTCTTGAGATACTGTGTTACATCTCATGACACAACTCCAACATCATGGCACCAACTGGAATATAACTAGCAATGTAAATACCGTAAACCCATTGTTAGATCATCAAAGGAAATAAAAAAAAAACATTGCTCTTCAAAACATATTACGTATTGTCGTAATTGTTCTTAAACACTTGCCGTTTACCCGCTATTTTCACTAGTCCCAGGAACGCAACCCCATTCTTTCCCTACTGGAACCGGGTTTTTGCATTCGCGAATTCTGCATGCACGAGCGTTTTCAAGAAGGTAACCCTCCCGGAGAAGAGAGGCTTTTATGGTGCAACTCGAAAGACGCAACGCATTTGGAGAAATGGTCAGGCTGCATAGGAGGATAACACTGTCAAGCATTGAGGTGGCGCTGCTGAGATCTGCAGTTAAAATGTTGGTGTCAGCGAACACGCGATTAATCTGGAGTCTCAAGTTGAGCAAGTTGCTGGCACAACTGGGACGATTCACTCCCTCCCGCGATTCAATTAATTGATCGGATTTCCCGGGAACAACTCCAGAACCCATACCATCTCATTGTCCAGTAAGTAGTTGGCTTCAGTTGAGAGGTGATTAAGTCAATGGAAAAAAGTGATTAAGTCCATCTGTGGGGAGAGTATACAATATACACTATCAAAAGTCGATAGCAGTTTTCCAATGTAGCTCGCTTAAATGATCTTATACGCAAATGGATCATCAAATTTTTCCAGGGACACCCGTCAAATAACAAATTTTTGCCAATTCGTAAAGAGAATCCACCGTGGCTACAAGGGTTTCACACACCATTCACACGGTGGGCTTATCAAGTAAAATGCAATCGCGTCTCAAGATACTGTCATATGCATCAGACAAAAAGTCCACTATCTGTGCGATTCAATTCACGTGTCCTGGGCACAAGAGTATATTTTAATAAAAGTCACTTTTTGTCTGTTTAGTTTGTTGTCCTTACCCCGCACCTCCGTTTAACACGGTTGGCTACGTACGGCGCAAAAGAAGTTCAACATACATGCGCACTATTTACATGTACATATGTTTGTCGGAATATGCCATCATACACCGCTCCACCTATAACGTGAAGGTGGCATCAAAAATCTCGTGATATGTTTATGCAGTTTAAGGAAACAAGGTGAGAATTACACAAATATCTGACCTCTTACCCAAAAACTGCGGTTACTGGCCGTGGCGCTGCTTATCGATTAAATTTCAATGGACGTCCCACTATTGTATGAACTGGTGGCTGGCGAGGGTCACGTGACTTTTATAACTGGTGCGTGGCGAGGGTCAGGCGAGTGGTGAATGTCCGACAAGGATCAGGTGCGTACAGCGTCCCCGTCAAGTCACCGCGTCCACAACATTGTCTCTGCCACCTAATCCCGAACGATCGCCGGGAATCAAACCCACGCAACTCCAAACGCTTCTGCCGAACCACCGAACCCCGATCCCCTCCCGCCGAACACCACCGGCGACCACCCATCGGGCGAGCGCCGTCAGTCCTGATCGCTGGTGCCATGGCCCCCGGTACCGCCGGCGCCGCCGCCGCCGCCGACGCCGCCGACTCTGGTGTCGTCGTAGTAGTATCGGCGCTTGAGGGCGCGGTACTTGCGCACGTGGTAGAGCGCCTCGAGCTCGCGCCCCACGTAGCGGCCACGCTCCAGCAGCGCGCGGATCTTCTCCGGGTCGCGCTCGTCCGCGTTGCGCTGGAACGAGCGCTTGAGGCGGTCGCGGAAGTAGGCGGCACCCTTGGGGTACTCGCGCCCCAGGTGCAGTAGCTGCTCGCAGCCGACACATTTTACAGGCGGGCAGTATTACAACAAGTGACACTGGCAATGCGTCCGTGACGCAACAACGGGCGTCTCGGTGTTCAGTTTTTTTTTTAAACTAGCGACGTCCAGGAATGTGGCGTCCAGGACTCAAAACCTCCTCTCTGAAGGCAGCTTTGCACAATCCACCGCTGAAGATGCTCCCCCTCACTGCTGACCTGTTTGTAGAGCTGTATCACTTCATGGCGCAGCGAGTTGGACATCGTGCGGGCTGCAAGGAATCACAGGGGTCAGAGCCCAGACAAGGGTCAGATTCGTTACATAAAGTAAAATAGAACGTGCCTTCATATATCATTTACATGCACCCGCATCTCAAGAGGCTGTACAGAAACAGCAACCCATAGACTGACAAGAGACCCAGAGACTCGCACAGACCAATCAGTGCAATGCGGCTGTATTAAACGTCTCGATGTAACCGCATCTCAAGACATGTTACAGAAACAGTGGGAATGTTTATGAGCAACACATTCAGCCTGATATTGATCTGGAAAGCCAATAGGCTGATGGGCTAAAACATTTTTTGTGTGCGGAGGCACAGACATAAATTCTGTTTATATTGGCTTTCGTCCCGACAATGTTTGAAGTTTAGTTAACGATTTAGGCAGAAAACAAACTCTGGTGGTTTAGGGACACGAGCGCGGAGTTCCCTTCAGCATCATCATCATTGTCCATGATTAATCCACTGCTGGATGACCGCCACCCTAAACCGCAGCTACCGCCGCTTCGTATGATCCAGCGATGTAAGTAATTATCCATCGTTCCATCTCCCCCTTGTTGACATCCTATCGGACGCGTCCAATTCCTCAGAACGTCGTTGCTAAAAGACTTTTAAATCACTTTGTGGCGCCACATTGTAGCACTACCACAGTGAAGTCATTGCCCCGACGACTTAACCACAACATATCCGCCTGCAGCCAAATGCGCCTGAACTCATATTAGCAAGAAGCCAAGCAGGATTGAGCCTGGATAGCGTTTGGATGGGCGACCAGCATGTATAATAAGTCAATGTGCTATAGGATGCGAGGCTATGTGTTTAGTGGCATAGGACGGTGCGGAAAGACAGCAATCGTTGTACAGTACTCCTATGATGCCATGTCTATGCTCTCCCCGCCTTCAGAATCAGAATATGTATGAATACTTGAGTAATCCGATGAGCTATGAAGCACTTTTTTTCACAGATGTCCAGTTGGGGTGGTTCACAACGTTACAACAACAAATGCAACAGGAATGCCAGGAAAAGGAAGCTAAGCAAATCACTAAAACATATATAAATTAAACTAAACTATTTTTTTATTTAAAGCTTTCATGACTGCAGGGATTCATATTCTTGGTTCTTTCGGTAAAGTCACGTAGAAGGGAAACAACTTTACCGAACGAACCAAGAATATGAATCCCTGCAGTCACGAAAGCTTTAAATCAATTTTTATTTTATTTTACCAGGTAAGACCCACTGCGCTGCTTCTTTTTCAGAAGTGACCTGGACACAAACAATTGCTCAACTAGGTGGCTTATCGCGTATGACTGCTAAAGACTCTAAAACACGTGATGGTTATTCTAAATGTGGCGAGGAAATACCGGAGGACCCGGGAGAAAAATCCACGCGACCACGAGGAGAGAGAGACAGCACACTCCAAATATACAGCAGCAGCAAGCATCGTCAGGAGCCGAGATTGAACCCACGACCTCCTGCATACCAGGCGAGGTAGTTAACATCTCCTAGCCACCGTGATGATGATGAGAGAGAGAGACCGCACACTCCAAATATACAGCAGCAGCAGGCATCGTCAGGAGCCGAGATTGAACCCACGACCTCCTGCATACCAGGCGAGGTAGTTAACATCTCATAGCCACCGTGATGATGATGAGAGAGACCGCACACTCCAAATATACAGCAGCAGCAGGCATCGTCAGGAGCCGAGATTGAAGCCACGACCTCCTGCATACCAGGCGAGATAGTTAACATCTCCTAGCCACCGGGATGATGATGAGAGCGTGAGAGACACGCAAACTCCAAATATACAGCAGCAGGCGTTGTCAGAGGCCGAGATTGAACCCACGATCTCCTGTATACCAGGCGAGGCAGTTAACATCTCCTAGCCACCGCGGTGATGATGAGACACAAACTCCAAGTATACAAGAGGCATATTCTTGGTTCTTTCGGTAAGGTCACGTAGAAGGGAAACAATAAAATAAGAACCAAGAATATGAATCCCTGCAGTCACGAAAGCTTTAAATCAAAATGTATACAAGAGGCGTCAGGGTCGAGGGTCGAACCCAGGACCTCCTGCATATCGGGCGAGGTAGTCAACATCTGGCGCAGCCTCCGTACGCCACAGCGGCGGTGTGTATGCGTCGAGCGGCGCCCTCTTACTCTGCGGGCATGAGCGAGGGGTCTCCCCACAACTCGAGCTGACGGGGCCGCGGGTTGCGACGCGAAGCCGGAGTCGGTCACGGTGCCAAGGCAAAGGCGCGGCTGCCAGAAGGCCGCGGTTTAGATTTCGCACCACGCATGGGCTGTGAAGGTCACGTGGGCGGGAGGCTTTGGGTCAATAGGACGCCGGGGGTGGCACTTGCCGCCCGGTTTCTTATCTGTTGTAGGGATTTTGAGGTGAAGGACAAAACCCGAGCTCCCATTGGTCAGCGCGGTTTGTTTACATAATTAACATAATAAATGTTAATTTTGCGTACAGCTTGCATTATTATTATTCGTCGCGGTATATCGTACGATATACATAAACAGTGGCTTCTTTTACCGGCAAAAAAAATTACGACGTGATTTGAAGTAAAAAAAATATTGAAATGTCAAGAAATGTGTGGTAAATTGATATCGCGAAATAACATATATACGTAAAAAAACGTATAAAATAATTATATTTGTATAATATATAGCGACATAAATATTTTAAATCGCGATATCAATTTAATAAACTTTTATCGCGATATATAATATATATATCAAAACTGATATCGCGATATGTCCCTATATATAAATATATATAAAAACATCTGAAATATATAATATGTTAAATATACATGCAAAAAATATATACGTGAAATATAAAGCTAAATACAATATTTTTATGGACGGCAAAAAAAATTGTGGTTTTCACACCTGATGATGATTGCTTGTGTTGCAGTCGAAACGTCGTGAGAATTTTATTGTTTTATATATTTTTTATTATTTTATTGTTTCCCTTCTACGTGACTTTACCGGAAGAACCAAAAATATTAATCCCTGCAGTCACGAAAGTTTTAAATCAAAATATAGAATTGTTATAACAACACTCCTACAACATCAGAGTGCAGCGCCACATTAAATCCGCACTACAATGACAATAAAAATTTTGATTTAAAGCTTTCGTGACTGCAGGGATTAATATTCTTGGTTCTCTCGGTAAAGTCACGTAGAAGGGAAACAAAATAAAAAAAATATATAAAACAATAAAATTCTCACGACGTTTCGACTGCAACACCTGATGATGATTGCTTCTGTTGCAGTCGAAACGTCGTGAGAATTGTATTGTTTTATATTTTTTTTATTGTTTACAATCTATGTGGTGACTTTACCGAAAGAACCAAGAATACAATGACAATAGTTTAAAGCGATTTGAAGCATGTTTTATTTTCAAAATGGGGAGGGGGGGGGGGCAGACCTTTGTGACGTCATATTTGAGGGGGGGTCTGACTTTGTGACGTCGTGTGAAGGAAGGGGGGGGTAAAAAATCGTCCAAAATCGCGTGACGTCATTTATGGACGGCCCCTCTCCTCCCGTAGCTAACACAAGCTCACGCAACAGTCGCACTCATGACAAGCAAAGTGCTCGCCGCAAATGAACCACCAATACCTCGCTGCTGATCTCGTCTAGGAGCTATAAACCATCAACCACGCGACACTCCGCTCATCCTCACAGCAGCCGCAGAGGCTTTTGGCTCAGCCTTCGAACAAAGGCGGTGGTAGTCGCATCACCATCATCATCACCATCATCGCCGCGACGCTTTCAGATGCACCGCTTCTGCGGCCGTCTGGAACGCTCTCCCCCTTCCGATATTAGGAAGCCACTGGAAGCTACGCACTTTTAAATCGTCATCATCATCATCTAGATCAGGGGTGGGGAACCTTTTTTTCTGGCAAGGGCCATTTGGATATTTATAACATCATTAGCGGGCCATAAAAATCATCAACTTAAACATTAGCCCGTTATGTTTGGTCAAACGTTTAATTAACTCGCCCCTAATGTGATTGCACGATGACATCGGATCTCGCAACAGGTGCTGGCTGGATTGTCGCGTTGCAAGATCGTGAGAGATGGCGGCGTCTTGGAGAGGAGGCTTTCATCCAGCAGTGGACAGATAATAGCTGCCGCTGATGATGATTATAATAATGTTGATAGTGCATCAAGCGAAAGGTTAAGAACAAAATTCTCAACCCGTGGGGCACATGGAGGGTTGGCCACCGTTAACACCGCAGACCAAACCCAGCCACATCTCTCAGTCAGACCCAGGTCTATTATCAACTGCGCGGTCTCCTGCACTAAAGTTCAACACAGCCGACACCGGTACCATGCATCTCGGAACAAATCTATTCCTGCCGCCAGACACACAGATGCCAAATTCCTGGAGCGTTCGGGTAAAATCTGAACAGGTGACAAGCATAGTGGGTGAGTGGGTGGGTGAGTGAGTGAGCGGGTGAGTGAGTGGGTGAGTGAGTAGGTGAGTTGGTGAGTGAGTGAGTAGGTAAGTGGGTGGGTGAGTGAGTGGGTGAGTAGGTGAGTGGGTGAGTGAGTGGGTAGGTGAGTGGGTGAGTGAGTGGGTGAGTGGGTGAGTGAGTGGGTGAGTGAGTGAGTGGGTAGGTGAGTAGGTGAGTGAGTGGGTGAGTGAGTGGGTGAGTGAGTGAGGTGAGTGGGTGGGTGGGTGAGTGAGTGTGTGAGTGAGTGAGTGGGTCGGTGAGTAGGTGAGTGAGTGGGTGAGTGAGTGAGAAGGTGAGTGGGTGGGTGAGTGGGTGACTGAGTAAATGAGTGCGTGCGTAGGTGAGTGGGTGAGTGAGTAGGTGAGTGGGTGGGTGAGTGAGTGGGTGAGTAGGTGAGTGAGTAGGTGAATGAGTGGGTGACTGAGCAAATGAGTCCGTGAGTGGGTGAGTGAGTTGGTGAGTGAGTGGGTGAGTGAATAGGTGAGTGGGTGCGTGAGTGGGGGGGGGGGGGGTGCGTGAGTGAGTGGGGGAGTGAGTAGATGAGTGGGTGGGTGAGTGAGTGAGTGGGTGGATGAGTGAGTGGTTGAGTTGCCACCTTTTGGACTGCAAACCAAACTCAGACATAATTCTCAGTCGTCACTAGATCTATCATCAACGCTGTGTGGTCTCCTGTAGTGAAGTTCAACACAACACGACAGGGCAATACCGGTGCCGTATCTCGACACACAAGGCAACCCCTGCCACCCCCGGTACGCAGATGCCGATTCCTGGAGTGTCCGGATCACACTCGGCCATCTGTCGGGATCAAACCCGGATCTGTGCCTTGCCTCCAGGCAGGTTTTCCGTAGGGTTTCAAACGATAATTGTTAGTAACGCTCTTTTTGGTTCTTTCGGTAAAGTCACGTAGGTAGAAAAAATAAACAGATCACGACAGTTTCGATCGCAACACAAGCAATCGTCATCAGGTGGGACAACCACAGCAAGAAAAACTGCTGAAGTAGGCTTGTTAGTATTGATAGTCAGTTTAACACGTAGTAGAAGTAGGCTTTCGCGACCAATATAATCATCCATAATCGAGGTTATTTTGTGGTTAGATCGCACAGTCAATTACTAAGGGGGTTGTCACGTAAACGCAACGTGCCAATTCGTTGCTAGTTCAGCACTCAGCATTGTGTGATGGAGAATAAACCCACTGCAACATTTACCATTCTAGTACAGTGACGTTTCGCCGGTAATGACAACGACCAGCATCATTATCAGGCGACACGCTCGTCAGGCGCGTATAACGACACGTTTATATTAACCCCCCCCCCCCCCCAATAAATAAAACCTCCGCTATTGTGGATATAATTGTGCGCCTTCTGACAGAGGCAAACAGGGCTAGCTCGCAATGTTCACCACCCCACCCACCAAGTAGCAAAGCATTAACAAGTGGGCAGTTGTTGTCCGTTGTGAGTGACCTTTGCCGACCCCGCGATGTCACGATTCACCACGGCGGTGCCACATTGCGCGTGCTGGAGTCGAAGACCGAAGGTCGAATGTGGACATGCGCACGAGCAGATCGAGTCCGTGCCCGAGTGACCGTGGCAGGAGGTTTAGTGGTAGAGGTTGGTGCAGTGGCTCCTGGCCGGGGTTGATGGCTCTTTTAAATGTGCGTGCATATATTTGATTTGTGTATCTCCGTGGAGAGATGTATGGCGGAGGCTGTAGGGCAGGGGTGGGGAACGTCCGGCCCGCGGGCCGTATAGGGCCCACGAAATCATTTGGTCTCTGGCCCTGCCAAGGCAACCGCAGGTGGAACTCGAAATTCAACAAATCTAGGAGCAAACCTGGAAAAGCAGTTGCGAGTAGCAACAACATCGTCAATACCAGCTAACATCATCACACGCCTCGCCAAAGAGAAGCAGTTACAGCCATCACATTAGGGGTGAGTGTATACAATGTTTGAGCGAATATAACAGGCTTATTTTTAAGTTGACAATTTTGCATGGCCCGCGAATGATGTTATAAATATACAAGTGGCCCTTGGCAGAAAAAAAGGTTCCCCACCCCTGCTGTACGGTCTACTACATCCTTGTGATGTTATATTCTCAACAACGACGAGAGAGTTTTTTCTCGTCATTGTTGTTATTATTATTATTTTGTGTCGCGTATTACGGAACGACGACCCACATCGAATGATCTGGCAGTTCGCCAGCATCGGGGCTCAAGGAAGCCTGGCACTGCTGATGAGACACCTGAATGTTGAAACCAGTCCAGAGTTTGCTTGCATTGTTGCTGCTGAAGTGAAGCGCTTCCAGGAGACCTCGTGTGTCTCGTGGGATGTGTGAAACATACTTCATTTATATATATTTTTTTAAGTGCATGGACACATGTTTATAGACATCTGTCCATGCACTTTTTTTCATGAAACTCTGTTAGATTCGTGGTCACGACGAACCACTTCTAGCCCCAGCGACCCCCATCTCTAACCCGCATCGACCAGCGTGGCGAAGTATGGTCAAACAACCCCCATTACCGACGTGGTGCGGTTAAGGCCTTGATTCAGCAGTAGATTGACACGGGGCTGTCAATTAAACATGTATGATTGAAACTTTGATTTAAAGCTTTCGTGACTGCAGGGATTCATATTATTGTTTTATATTTTTAATATTTTATTGTTTCCCTTCCACGTGACTTTACCGAAAGAACCAAGAATATGAATGATTTAAGTAACTTTTTGTTAGCCAATGGGCACATCACCCGGTGCACGTGACCAAAAGCCGGGGTTTGGGGGCCTGGATAGTGTTTGGATGGGCGACCACTCACTGTGCGCGTGCCAGGTGCTATAGGCTTCCGCGGGGCCAC